AAGTGACCTATAAGTAGGAAAAAAATTGGAAAAAGCACGGTAATGTATAAAGGTCATATTCTCCTCTTTTAATGGCCACGGTAAGGATAAATCTGCGTTTGGAACAACTACATTCTGCAGGACTTTTTCAAGCTAAGGTCAGAAGGAGTTTTACCTTGTACAATAGTTCACCAAATCATAAGAATTATTATTAATACTTCGAAGGGGTACTAACAATGAAGCAAAAAAAAGAATACTCTATCCAGGAAGAATGGGCATCTAAAACTTTTCAAGCAAGGCTTATCAAAGTAACACTTCAAAAGAACATAATGGGTAGAAAGTCTCAAGCGCATGACACAGTTTGATATTCACTAATGGAAAAACTGCGCAGTTTTAAACGATATCCAATCAAAACGTCCTTTGAGTCGTTCCTTTCAAGATTATGATTTCCATTATCAAGAAACCGGCTTGATGCAAACTTATCAGAGTACCTTTCCTCCCATCCATGATTTTTATCAATTACTTTAATTTAAAGAGGATAATTTATACACTAAAAAGTAGGAAAAGAAAATATAGGTAACCGTGCTCGTTCGAGAGCTAGAGACCATCGTACCTCTTTACCTGATCTATCGATTGAAAACCAATACCATGATCTAGGGATGTGTGCACGCTTATTCCGCCGGTTACATATTTTTTTATGCGCAGTACACAATGCAATACTGATAATTCAACTTAAACATTCTCGACTAGTCACCACCATTAATCAAATTTAGGCCTTCCTTTAAAAAGAGCATTGGTCTCCAAATAATTTTTTTTCCAGGTTTCCGTTACTTTCTACCCAAGTTTCCTACCAGCTCGCGAGGAAATTATTTTATAACTGGGCTCGCAATAAATCGTTATCAAAGAAACAAGAAGAAAGGAATAGAAAGAGCTCGCAACTTTGGGAACGTTTTGCTCAACAGCGAAAAAAATTCGACTAACCAGACAGAACTTACCTTTTAAACTTTGCCTAAACCCGACCTAACAAATAGAATTTTTGCTTCTAACGTACCCTTACTCCTTGGAGATCAGCTCCGTTCTCTAAAAGTAAGCTAACAACATCAGTGTGACCATTCTTTACAGCTGCAATGAGCAGAGTGTCCACCTATAAGTAGGAAAAAAATTGGAAAAAGCACGGTAATGTATAGACGTCATATTCTCTTTTAATGGCCACGTTAAGGATAAATGTGCGTTTGGAACAACTTCATTGTGCAGGACTTTTTCAAGGTAAGGTCAGAAAGAGTTTTACCTTGTACAATAGTTCAACAAATCATAAGAATTCTTATTAATGCTTCGAAGGGGCACTAAGAATGAAGCAATAAAAGAATTCTCTGTCCAGGAATAATGGACATCAAAAACTTTTCAAGCAAGGCTTATCAAAGTAACACTTGAAAAGAACTTAATGGGTACAAAGTCTCAAGCGCATGAGACAGTTTGATATTGACTAATGGAAAACTGCGCAGTTTTAAACGATATCTGATCAAAACGTCCTTTGAGTCGTTCCTTTCAAGGTCATAATTTCCATCATCGAGTAACGGCCTTGGTGCACACTTTTAGCAGTACATTTTTTTCCCATGGATGATTTTCTTTCAATTACTCTAATTTAAAGAAGATATATTTATACACTAAAAATTAGGCAAGAAAATATAGGTCATCGTGCTCGTTCGAGAGCTATAGACCATCGTACCTCTTTACCTGATCTATCGATTGAAAACCAATACCATGATCTAGGGATGTGTGCACGCTTATTCCCCAGATTACATATGTTCTTATGCGCAGTACACGATGCAATACTGATAATTCAACTGAAACATTCTCGTCTAGTCACCACCATCCAACAAATTTAGCCCTTCCTTTAAAAAGAGCATTGGTATCCAAATAATATTTTTTTTCAGGTTTGCGTTACTTTCTTCCCAAGTTTCCTAACAGCTCGCGAGGAAATTTTTTTATGACTAGGCTGGCACTACATCGTTACCAAAGAAACAACAAGAAAGGAATAGAAGGAGCTCGCAACTTTTGGAACGTTTTTCTCAACAGCGAAAAAAATTCGACCAACCATACAAAACTTGACTTTCAAACTTTGCCTATACCCGACATAACAAATACAATTTTTGCTTCTAACGTACCCGTACTCTTTTGTCGACATCAGCTCCCTTCTTTAAAAGTAACCTAAGAATGTCAGTGTAACGATTCTTTACAGCTGCAGTGAGCGGAGTGACCTCCTATAAGTAGGAAAAAAATGGAAAAAGCCCGGTAATGTATAATTATAACATAGCGCGCGCGCTAGTCCTATCTAATTCCTATTGCGTCAACATGAACAAAATCTTTATGTGTGCAGTTTCCAAATAGCTGCAAAATTTCCGTCGTGTGAGTTCCTTAAGTTAAAGTTTCGGTAAGCGATATCAGTAAGTG